CAATTAAAACAACAATGGACAAGCATGACATTCCAGAATGAATTTTCCTATCAGTTCCTATCATGGTACAAAAGTTTAATACATCAATCTTAGCCTCTATATAAGCCTCATCTTCTATACAATACAATTATATATACAATTATATGTACAGTTATATATATATATATATATCTTTTAATTCTACCATTAACTTGAAGTCCGAGCAGTTCTTAATTCATACCAATGGTAAAATTTGCCCCAGATTTCGAAGTATTTGTGTTCTGTCTTGTCTTTCATAATCATTGTAAGCCTGTCCATCTCAGCACATGATAAAATTTTATGCAGGATCTCTTCTTCCGTTGGGGTTCCCTTATTCCTCCAATTTTGAGCAAAAACCAGTCTGGAAGCCGTTAAAATGTGTAGCATTAAATAAAGTACGCCTTTGTCATGCTTTTGTGTAGTTAAACCTAATAGAAAGAGTTCTGGTTTTGGTTCTACCACTTGCTCTAATATTTCTTCCAACCATACTTTAATCCTGTTCCAAAAATCACGAGCTTGCGTGCATTCCCACCACATATGATAGTAAGTTCCACTTTTCAAATTACATTTCCAATATTTAGGGGAGACATTGGTACACATTTTAGCCAATCTTGTGGGTGGGAGATGCCATCTATAAAACATTTTGTAAAGGTTCTCTTTGTAAGAGGTGGCCAAAGTAAGCTTCTTGTTTCTTGCCAGATGTGTAGATCAAAATTAAGACCAAAGTCCTTGCTCCAATTCAACATAGTCACTTTTACTTGTTCCTCGTACATTGCCTGATCTAACAAATAGTAGTATAATTTTTTAATCATTTTATCCTCCGACCCCAATATTATTTTATCCAATTCTATTGGTTCTAATTTAATGCCTAACTCTTTTTTGTCTTTCCGATATCTCGCCTGCAGTTGCAGGTATGCCCACCATTCTAATTCTATCCCTTCATCCTGGAGGGTTTTCCTGGATTTCAATTCCCCTCTTTCATCTAAGATATTTTTATATGTTATGGTCTTGGGTAAATTTTGGATGTACATATATTTCTAATGGTGAGATCCAACTAGGTACTTGGGTATAATTTGGTTGCCAAATTTTTGTCCATACATCAATAAGAGCTTGCCTAATATAGTGTCTTCGAAAATATTTGTGTACTTTATATTTATGATCCCATAATATGGCATGCCATCCTATTTGTAGGTCATGGCCCTCCAGACACAATAGTCTCCTGTTTTTTAGTAATATCCAATCTCTTACCCATACTAATGCTATAGCCTGGTAATATTTCTGCAAGTCTGGAAGACCAAATCCCCCCCTTTCCTTTGAGTCCTGCAGTAATTTTAATTTAATCCTTGCTCTTTTTCCTTGCCAGATGAATTTACACATCATTTTATTCAAATTTTGAAAAAAATTCTTGTCTAATTTTATAGGTATACATTGGAACAAAAATAGGATTTTTGGCAACACATTCATTTTAATCACCGCAATTCTGCCCATAAGAGAGAGCTGTAGGTTAGTCCAAATATCAAAGTCTTTTTGAATCTGTTCTATTAACTTATCATAGTTATCCCTTTTAAGTGTAGTGCATTTGGCAGTTAATTGTATCCCTAAATATCTAATTTTATTTGTGATTTGAACACCTATTCTGTCAACCAATTCATTTTTCTGTATTTTAGTCATATTTTTGACGAGCATTTTAGTTTTTTTCTTTATTTATCTTTAAACCTGCTATTTCCCCGTATCTATTCAATGTTTCCATCAGTCTAGTCCCTGATTGTAATGGTTCTTCAATTATAAAAACTAAATCATCTGCAAAGGCTTGTATTTTAAATGTCTCTTTTTTGATTTCTAAACCTTGGATCTGTTCATCTTGCCGGATTGCTCTAGTTAATACCTCAAGAGATAATATAAATAACAGTGGTGATAGTGGGCAACCTTGCCTCGTGCCTTTTTGAATTTGGAAACTCTCAGTCGGTTCTCTATTGATTATTACTTTGGCCAAACAGGTTCACTTTATTAAGGGAACGTTCTGCTTCAAATCCACACCTGTTATGGTTTCCTTAACAAGGCTTCAGGCTCTCACAGTATTCAGCTGAATTGAAAAGGTTTCATTTCTCCATTTAACCCACTTGAAAGTAACATTCCCCCCCCCTTAATCTAAAGGCAAGATGAAATGCAGTGGGATGTAGCTGTCAAAGTTTCATCCTTGACACTCTCATGTGTCAGTCACATCTCTTGCAATGACAGGGATGCACAAATATAGTTTCCCTGATCAGCCAAGGTTTATGTATGATTACCTGTTTGGACAGTACATTGTATTGTTATCCTAAATAGACAGCATGTCATTTAGAAATATATTGATTTCTGAATCCTCCAATAGACAAAGAATACCCTAATAATTTCTAAAAATACCCTATTTACTGATAAATAGTATTTTATATCAGAATGTCATATTGCAGGTGAAATGCAATTATTTTTAATACAATGCCTGGCTTCATTTACCAACAGACACATCCTTTTTCTCTATGCAACAGCAATTGTCCTTCAGGTTATAGAAAGACGGAATGGAAGAGAAGCCATTTTGTTGTTATGAATGCCTTCCATGTTCTAAAGGGAAAATTTCAAACAAGAGTGGTAATAAAATAGTCCATCTCTCTCTCCCTCTCCCCCCCTCTCTCTCTCATAATGAAATATCCATTGCTAAAGTAATGAAATGTGTGCTTGTTTGCTTTTTGATAAACCACCGTATTTTGGTGAGGTAGCTAGGACCAAGATCTCAAGTTGAATCTCTTTTCACTCATTGTTGGCTCTGAATCACTCAGAATTTAATTTGCCTTCTAAGATTATGCAGAAATAAAATGACATGGTATGGGTGGAACATTTAAGTATTTGTTTGAGCTCTCCCTGAAAAGGCAGGATATAAATGCAATATATAAACATGAAATTGCAAAAGGGTAAATAAGTGAGGGAAGGGAGGGAGGGCTATTGGTGTACCTCAAAATATTGATTTGCTAACCATTTTTATAAATAATTGATGTAAAAGCAATTACTGGATAAATAAGAATGTGTGATTTGGTGAGAAGAAGAATGACATCACTATAAGTAGTAAGACACTTCAAGAGAGATGTGGGAAATTTCAGCATACTTAGATGTGGGAAATTTCGGCATACATTTGACTTCTTCTTAAAATCATTCTAATTATAACTTGCACCCAGTGAAGCACTGGGAAGAGTTACTTTCTTCCTTGCAGCAACACACTGTGTTCAATGGACAAAAGGACATTTTGCAAATGGAGAGAGCTCTCCCATCAACCAAAACTATTCTAAATCTAGTACATATGTGGGTGAAACAACATTCATTTGAGAGTAATTATTGAATCCTGCACTGAAAATACTTTATTTCTTTTCCCCATCTCCAGACATGGAGGAGTGTTTTAATTGTCCAGAAGATCATTATCCAAGCAATACGCAGGATTTCTGCATTCTAAAAAGTATAAGCTTTTTGTCTTATAAAGAACCAATTGGGAGTCAGTTTGACCATTGTTGCCATTTTATTTTCTTCTTTAACAGCTTTGATTCTTGGAATTTTCATTAAGTATAGAGACACTCCTATTGTTAAAGCCAATAACCGAAACCTTACCTATGCCCTATTAATAGCATTGTTGTTCTCCTTTCTATGTTCTTTTCTTTTCATTGGCCAACCAGACAAGTGGGTATGTCTTTTTTGACAAATTGCTTTTGGCATAAACTTTTCCGTGGCAGTTTCTTGCATACTGGCCAAAACAATCATTGTAGTACTTGCCTTCCTGGTTACCAAGCCAGGATCTAGAAGGATGAAATGGGTAGGGGGTAGCCTGAGCCTTTCCATTGTTGTTTTATGCTCCTTTATTCAAATAATTCTCTGTACTGTATGGGTTGTAATTTATCCACCTTTCCCAGATTTTAGTATGCACTCCATAGCAGAAGAGGTTGTACTAGAATGTAATGAAGGTTCTGCTATCATGTTCTATTGTGTCTTGGGATTTATGGGCTTCCTGGCAATTGTCAGTTTCACTGTGGCTTTCCTAAGTAGAAATCTACCAGACAGTTTTAATGAAGCCAAGTTCATCACCTTCAGCATGTTGCTATTTTGCAGTGTTTGAATATATTTTGTTCCAACTTACCTTAGCACCAAAGGAAAATATATGGTGATTATGGAGATCTTCTCCATCTTAGCTTCCAGTAGTGGTTTACTGAGCTGTATCTTCTTCCCAAATGCTTTTTTTTATTTTAGTATTACCTGAGCTGAACAATAAGGCACACCTAACTAGGAAAAGAAGCAGATTTTAAAACCACAAAGTTCTTTTTCAGCCAACATTAAATGCTTTTTCCCAAGTAGAAGCAACTGAGTTTGTATCAGTCATGACTAATTTCATCTTGTCTACACAATTTTTATTCAATATTGTATAAATTGAAAGCATACCCTACACCCATAATATCTAAGGATGATGTTCTCTCATACCAGACTATCTGCCTGGTAGATGACCTTCTCTATTACCAGACTACTATCCAGACTACCTATTTAATTCTCATATAGCTTCTACTTTCTCTACTCTGGAGACTTTTGGGTTGCAACTGTATGGAAACCCATTTGATCAGGGCATTGAGATTTTCATCTCAACTATGAAATGCACTGCCTCCAGAAGTTAGATCTGCATCTACTCGATTGCTGCTTTATTACTGAGTCAAAGCCTTCTTTTTTCAGAAGATATTTATTCTATTATTTAATTGCATTGCCAAGTGACACTGCTATATGACCTTCTGCCTATTTTAGAAACTCACTTTCTCTTCCAACAGCCAAATAATATATTTTTTTTAATCTATATTTCTTCATTCATGTATGGCTATCTATATATTACTGCTCATGTCTGTTTGTTTATATTTGGGAGAAATGATTCATCATAGGGCAACAATTATTTTTAAGAAGGCACCTCAAATGGGCTAATTTACACAATGCTAGGACCCATTACTCCCATGGGAATGAAATTTGAGGAAATTGTAGCTGCTTCACCATTACCGTATTGCTGCTGATTCAGCACCACTGTGTTGCCACAGTCAGCTGAAGTCACATTTTCATCGTTCCCTGATAGTCAGTGGAGAAGCTGGCAGGAAAACTAACAAGTTGCTTGGCTAAGTCTCCCCAACTGACACAACTTCCCCAGATCTTCATGCTTGCAATTTGCTAGCCATTCAAACACCCTATGAATACTTTCTGACCTGTGCTTCCCCCTCTACACCCTTCCTGATGTCTTGCCCATCCCACATACCTTGCACAGTCTTCCTAACCCATGCCACATCCCTTTAGAGACTCTCCAATTCATGCAGAACCTCTCATGTCTCTCATACTATTTTCCTGACTTGTACCATATCTCCCACATATCCTTCACAACTTGCACTGGTCCACCATGTGCCCTCCTTGAACCCATTTGGCACATCTCATGCACTCCTGTGGAGCCCCACACAGTCTTCTTGACTGTGCCCTCCCTGAACCATGTGGCAACTTTTATGTACCCCTGAGCACCATTCCTGACCTATGCCATATGTCTCTGAACCATTTTCAATGCTCACCACATCTTATGCTTTCCCTTCCCTCACTTCTCCCTCTCCCACCTATCAGCAATCACATCCTGCCTCCTGGTCTTGGACTTGCAATTTCCTGCTAGTTTTCCCACTGACTTTTTTCCAGCAATCTTCCAACAAGAAAAACAAATATGGAAGCCATCAGAAATGGGAGGGAGGGAGGGAGAGAGGAAGGAAGGGAGGAAGGGAGGGAGGGAGCGAGGGAGGGAGCGAGGGAGGGAGGGAGGTGTTCCCTACCAGTTTCCCATGAGGAAATTCAGTAGGGAAGTTGACAGGAATTCAAAAGTCGCTTCCATGCTCATACTTTTTTTTTTTTTTGCCTACCCATGGTAATTCTATATCTTTTTAAAGATAAGGAAATATCTCTGGAACAATGACACAATAGATCATGGTTTTCTAGTCTTTTATAATTGTTCATTCCCTGGAATACTTTAACTTCTCTATTTCTAAGTACTATATTATAATTATATGCTGCACTTGATATATTTTCCTGCTATCAAAGTACAGTAGGAAAACATACACATATTATTTCTTGAATTCTTTCCAACTTTACCACCAGTGGCCATGGAAATTATCTGTTAAATAAAATACTTTGTTGAATCAATGTTTGTTTGTGTGTATATCTGCAAAAGAAAAATAGGATGGGCAGATTCCTCTGTTCTGGATAATGTGATAAGGAAGGAGTACCAAGGGTGCTTAGAATTATTTAGTCACCAACATTACAAGGCATTACACATTCATATTCCTTCCTTCCTTCCTTCCTTCCTTCCTTCCTTCCTTCCTTCCTTCCTTCCTTCCTTCCTTCCTTCCTTCCTTCCTTCCTTCCTTCCTTCCTTCCTTGGATTAATTAGGCTAATTCAAAACTTATTTTTGGCAGCATACCATTAAACCCAGTATAATATCTAAACCACAACAACCTAAATGGCACCTCATGTGACAGAAGAAAAAACATTTTGAACCAAACCAAACAGTAATAAACACATGGACACATAATTGACCTATCATGCAGCTTGAGGAGGAAAATGTTTTTAAAGACCATCTAAAGGCTTGCAGCAGTGGAGGACAATACATCTCTGGGTTGATACTATCCCAGGAGCACTCTGTAATGCAGAAGAAGGGCTTCCTATAAAGGGAACATAGCTTAATAGGTGAGACACTGGTAAGCAATGCAGATCACATAGCAAATGTATTAAAATAATTTCCCCTCACCAGGTTCTACTATGTTGCCTCATTGTAGTAGTAGCCAGTGTTTCTTCGAGGGGTGAACAAAAATATTGTGAGTGTATGTCATGAATATACAGTATATCACCAGCAAGATCACCCAAGCAGTGAAGGTCATTGCAGCTGCCCAGCTAAAGCAAACAGGCACCTATATGGAGGAGAGCAATAGAGAAAGATGCCAGAAGCAGATAACATTGTACTCATGTCAGAAGCAACGTGTGCTTCCTGGTTGAAAGGATTAGCCAGAGACATCACCATTGCCCCGGGGATGCCCAGTTGTCAGGTCCTTTCATGTCCCTAGCAGGAGCTGAAGTAAAGGACGGGAACTCAACCATGGCAGCATTTGAATCTCAAACATGGGCTCGCTAGCCTCCCATCCAGCATCCTAACCATGTGAGCCATCATGCCATCCTTATATACAGAGCATGGTTTATCCATATATCACTATATGGACAGTGGCAAAGATCTCCATTAATAAAAGAGCCGAGGTGGCGCAGCAGTTAGAGTGCAGTACTGCAGGCCACTTTAGCTGAATGTGTTCAGCAGGTCAGCGGTTCAAATCTCACCGGCTTAAGGTTGATTCAGCCTTCCATCCTTCCGAGGTAGGTAAAATGAGGACCCAGATTGTTGGGGGCAATGTAAATATATATATACATTGCTTACTGGTGTACACCGCTTAGAGAGTGCTTGTACTTAAAGCGGTATATAAGTCTCATAAATAAATAAATACAGTAAGGGCAAAGGCAATAATGAAACACTCATATATTTTTATCAAGTAAGCCACATGGGAAAATATATAAAATCATTGACAATATAATGTACATTATGGGCCTCTCAGGTCAGACGGCACTCGATATACTACTGAAGAAGAGCTGAAGATCTTTCAGCGTATTCATGGTATTTATAATTAGATTAAACACTTCAGAATTTGTAGGTACTGATGTTGCCATGCAGAAAAAGAAAATATGAAGTTGCAAACAGAGAATTACAGCTCTTGTAGAACAGAAGAAGAAGCATAAATGTGGGAAAGCCCAACACAGTGAAACAACTGCAAATTGAAATCCTAGGCATTGGTGATTTGAGATGAACTTGCATCAGACACTTTCAATCAGAAAATCTGTTTGATACTAAGGATATAAAAAACAAACAAGAAATAGTGTTCTGTTTATAGCTAATAAGGGTATAGCAGAACAGTTCATGGCTGCAATGCAATGCAATGCAGTGCAATGATCAAATAATATGAACTAAATTTCATGGAAATCTAGAACAACTATTCAAATTTATTGCCAACCATTGAGTTACTGCTGCCCAAGGGGGAGCACTGCACTTATTGAAAGCAAAGTTTCACATACATATGCCACACAAAAGTATGAACTGTATCTTTGGAACATTTTTCCCAATAAAGAGCCGAGGTGGTGCAGCAGTTAGAGTGCAGTACTTTAGCTGACTGTGTTCAGCAGGTCAGCGGTTCAAATCTCACCGGCTCAAGGTTGACTCAGCCTTCCATCCTTCCGGGGTAGGTAAAATGAGGACCCAGATTGTTGGGGCAATGTAAATATATATATACATTGCTTACTGGTGTACACCGCTTAGAGAGTGCTTGCACTTAAAGTGGTATATAAGTCTCATAAATAAATAAATAAATAAATAAATAAATAAATAAATAAATAAATAAATAAATAAATGGACATGTATAATGTTTTCACCTCATTTGTTTAATAGTGTTCCCTTTACATAGTTTAGGACTTATGTGGAGAACAGGTCATATTTTACATCATAATTATGGAGAAATATTGAAAATTCAAATAGGTTCACAAATATTTAACTACCATTGTATTTTTCAGAGAGTCAAGAAGCATAGTAAGCTGGTGAATGAGGCAAAGATTAGGGAAATGATTAATGTGGCCAAATTAGTTTGCCAATGGAGTGGTCATAACTGGCATGCCAAGTGTGGTACCATAAATGGCCTCATTACTGCGGGACCTAGAAAATGAGAGATAGCAGAAGGAGCACTCTGAAAATGCTCAGCTGATTTTTGGGAGAGCCTAAGTCCACCAGAACTTAAGTGATTTGTATAGCACTACTTTTCATATAAGGTAACGGTTTCCTTGTCAGTCATGTCCAACTCTAGGGCACAGTGCTTATCTCCTTTTCTTGGCCAAGAGAGCCAGCATTGTCCAAAGATATTTTCTGTGGTCATGTGGCCAGCATGGCTATACTCCAAAGGCACATGGAAGAGTTACCTTCCACCAAAATGGTACCTATTAATCTGCTCACATTTGCATGCTTTGGAACATGCTAGATGGGCAGGAGATGGGGAAAATAATGGGTAATATTAATAGTATCGTGATAGATCATATATTAAGTAATATCATGATAGATTTTATATTAAGCAAAGGGTAAGCAAAATGAACTCAGTAAATTTATTTCCATCATTCTTTTCTCTAATTGTATGGCTTTTTTTCTTCTGTACATATGACTTTTCAGTCCCCCAATTTTTACTTAATATCTTAGTTCTAACAGTTTATAAGAGTGCAGTAGTGTTTACTGAGACATAATAAACATCTCTCTCTCTCTCTCTCTGATATTTTTCAAAGTACCTTTGCAAGTAATAGTATTCATTACTCATTAAGTATAGACATTGTGTCCCTTCTTCTCCATGTCACAAGGGCATTCCAGCAGACACTGACAAAACTAGGACCCTAGATTAAGACACTGCATTGTATTAACCTCTGCTCAGAAATATGGAACTGCATGTAGGGAGAAAAAGGATTTGTGTCTAAACTGATATTTTCTTGGCTTAATTTCAGATAATGTTCATGGCCTAAACTTTAGGTAATGTTAAGGGGTAGCCAACCCAACTCCTCATTTGAATAATAAAATAAGAGCTACTGTTTGATATCTACTATGGCCATATATTATAGTGAGTTGGTTATATTCAGAACATTGATTTTATTTTTTTCCCCTAACATAATATTAATTTCTCCTGGTTCCAACTGCAAACTAAGCAGTCCTCTTCCAATTGTTCACAAGTATTATCAGCCTGGAGACTTAATCATTGCTGCAATTATTTATCAGGTCTTCTTTCTTTCCAATGAGATCACATTTCAAAGTCTTCCCTCTCATGAAGTGCTCGATCAGTATCTGTAAGTATCTCCTGCTGCTGCTACTCCTCCTACTTCTCTTTCCTGCATTATCACTTGCAGTGTGCTGATATGCTGAAACTTATCAGTTGCTAGTTAATCAGTAATCAACTTTCAATGTCCATTTACTGTATAGTCATTTTTAATTACAGAACTCACAGAAATACCTCCTGGCTTAACACAGAAGTTCAAATTGAGACAAATCAATTTGACTCATAAATTATATAAATTACTTTTTCCTCAGGAAATATCTTTCCTTCAACAAAGTCATCCATTGAAAGTAAAAATCTAGAGGTTGTAGATGTCCTTGGGCTAATCCTGATTTTTTTTTTCCTGTTCCATCTCACCCAGAAATGAAGCAGGAAATCCTCCAGTGCATTTGAGATGTTTTTTTTTTCAGTCTTTTGAAGTCTAGTGTTGAAAAATGGAACTTTCTTCTCACTCTTAGAATATTATAGTCAAAATACAGATGGAACTGAAATTAAATTTGTCAGAAGAAGAATCTAAAATACAGAAGAAAGCAGGCTTCAAATGCTTTCTCAGTTCAGTGATAAGTTATCTCCCCTCCTCACCAGTGATTCCTTATACAATCTAGTGCTATTGTTCCTTAAGGACCAGGCTCTAAGCATCCAGAATAAACAATAAGCACTAGATCTGTAACATTAAAAATATCAACTGTCTGAATATGAAGCAGAAATATGTTGTTTGTAACTCTCACTGAAGGTTCCTCACTCACAATTATCAACATGCTTTGGCTCTGGCATTTGCTGTAAAGGAGATCAATGAACATTCTGGGATTTTACCCAATGTTAGCCTCGGCTTCCACATCGCTACCAATTATCTTGAGGAATATACAACTTATCTTTTAGCAATGGAATTTCTATCTACAAAAGATAAATTTATCCCCAACTACAAATGTAATGACCAGACCAACACGGTAGCCATAATTGGAGGACCCCGTACTAAGACCTGTGTCAACATGGCAACCACCTTATGCAACTACAAATTTCCCCAGGTGAGAAGAAATATGGAGCAAGAGGGAAAGTCCATAAGCTAGTTATTATTTTCAGATGTTGGGCCCTCAGGATAACTCTTATGAGAAACATTCGAGAGGCAAGAAATATTTGTCATATAATGACAAGAATATCACCAAAGGGTAGTCCTTTTTTGCTTCATGACCAGTATTAAACTTGCAGATGTCCTTAACCCTAACTGTATTTTTTACAAAGCCTCTTTCTGTATCCCACTCAATTCCAAGAATTGCATTAAGTTAAAAAAAGGCATTCTTCCTTTATTTTTTAAAAAGTTTGTTTCCTTTTTTCCTATGTTCTCCTGTGTTTCCCCAATTAGATTACATATGGATCAGCTCCTTTGATGAATAATGACCAAGCAGGAATTTTTGTCAAATGGATGTTCCCTGATGAGATCCACCAGCTTAAAGGGATACTACACTTACTATTGCATTTTGGATGGACCTGGGTTGGGTTGATTTCTCTGTATGAGGAAGATAGGGAGAGATTTGTTCAAAAGAGTCTTTCCATGTTTTCAGAGAGAGGAATATGCTTTGACTTTATAGAATGTCTACCCCAAATGATGTATGGTAGTGAAGCTGCTGAAATGGTGGAGAAGGCAGATAAAATATATAAAGTGATTATGTGGAGTACAGTCATTGCAGTGATCTTTAATGCTGAAATTACGAGCATAGTGACTTTGAGAATGATGCTCTCTGTTTTAGATTCTGATGATATTCCAAAGGAGAGAAAAGCCAAAATTTGGATCATGACAGCTCAGATGGAATTCACCTCCATTCTGATGCAAAGATCTTTGCCTATTGATTTTCTCCATGGTGCAATTGATTTTGCACTTCATTCAAACAAGTTGACTGTTTTCCAACAATTTATGGAAAAGAGAAACCCAAACTTTGAAAAAGAAGATGGCTTTATTAGGGATTTCTGGAAAGATGCATTTGAATGCTCATTCTCCAGTGATGTAAGTGAAGGGAATGCTGAAAGGATCTGTACTGGAGAAGAGAATTTGGAGAATCTTCCTAATTCTGTCTTTGAGACCACCATAGGTGGACTTAGTTACAGCATCTACAATGCAGTCTATGCCGTGGCACATGCTCTGAGGGCCTTGCTTACCTCAAATCTCAAAGCGGATCAAAAAAATGATAAGAGGAGGCACAAGTATTTCCTTCAATCACCATGGCAGGTAGTGTCCACTAATCCAAATTCAGGAATATCATCAGAACATATAAAACAATGTTTTTTCTCCTTTTATTTTGGCAGTTAAAAATCAAAGTATTTATTTGTTTGGGTTTCTTTTTTTCATACTTCTACCTCCCTCCATCCTCCCTTGCTTTACAGATACTTTTGAGTGTTATTGGTATTGTCACATGCAAGAAAACAGAAATAGAAAAACCTTTTATCTTTGTCAAATATTATAAGTTATAAACACAGGGGTTACCATTGTAATATATATTTTATTCCACAAAGTAATTCATAATCCATAAAATGTTCAGTTGATCGAAGCAAATTAATGGTGTCATTTTTTTTTCTTTCTCAGTGTTGTGTTGGAATTTTTATATTAAACATTTAGAGATGAAAATATTCAATAGAGTAGAAAATCTATGTGATAGAGAAAACATTTCTTTTTCAATTATAAACAGTGTAGATTGGTTAAAAAATAGCATTCCATTGACCATAAACCATACTGAAGGAACTGAGATTTCTACATATGATTCAAGAAAACCAGCTAATGTTTATATTTCTTTGATTTTTCATTCAGCTCCACCATTTTTTGCGGCAAGTTTCTTTTAACAATGGTGCTGGAGAACTAGTTTCTTTTGGTCTCAGTGGGGAATTAGAAACTGGATTTGATATTTTCAATTGGGTCACATTCCCAAACAAGTCTTTTCTAAGAGTCCAGATTGGAAGGATTGACCCCATGGCTCCCCCAGACAAGCTCCTCACCATTTCTGCCAAGGATGCTGTTTGGCCTCTTGTATTTAACCAGGTGCATCTCATTTTTCACAGAAATAATTTAACAACCACCATCACCTCAACAACACTTATTTAGCAGCCTCAATATTTTTTTGTATATGATATGAACATAAACTATTATAGTGTACATAGGTGGTTTAAATGCCTACAACATTTAACATTTATTTGGGTCCAGTGCAAAATTATCCCAATGGTCATTGTAGTAGTAATCTTTATTAGTTAACTTCAATGGAACGAAATGAGACAAGCTAATGTAAAAAGTAAGATAAATTGGTGTATGATAAAATAGAACGCAAAGATATATAATAAAATGAATACTACAGATAAAAAACAATAGGTCCTTAAGTGAATTACTTTTGCATGCAACTCCAATATATTGTATAAAATATGTCCTTTGTTGGAGAAGCCTGAGAATAAACATATCAGTTGCTTGCTTATATATTTGGTCCCTGAAGAAAATATATGTTTAAAAAAAAAATGTCCCCCACTATATGGTTTTGTAAAGTGGTAACTCTACTTCTGAGCCCTTGCTGAGCCAAATAAAGGACAATGGAATAAGACATTTGAAGTAGTTAGGATATCTTTATCTACCTAAGAAGAATAATGACAACGTAGGAAAGTGTGTAGCCTGATGGAAAGAAACAATGTATTCCAAAATAGTAAAAATATTTTTTAAAATGGCATAGCCAGACTTTTTTAAATTTCATTTCCTTGGATTTAAATTTATATTTGAGGGGCTGCCACAAAGAAGAGGGAGTCAGCTTGTTCACCAGAGCACCAGAGGGAAGGATGAGAAACAATGGTTGGAAGCTGGTAAAAGAGAGAAGCAACCTGGAATTGAGGAGAAACTTCCTTACAGTGAGGACAATCAATAAGTAAAACAGCTTCCCCCCAGAAATTGTGGGTGCTGGACAATCACCTGTCTGAGGTGATATAAGTCCTCCTGGTTGAGTAGGGGGCTGGACTAGAAGACCTCCAAGGTCCCTTCTGATTCTATTCTATTCTATTCTATTCTAGTCTAGTCTAGTCTAGTCTAGTCTAGTCTAGTCTAGTCTAGTCTAGTCTAGTCTAGTCCCCTGAAAGAGATGAAATGAGGAACAGAAACTCTTTGTTAAAACAAAGACTTTCTGCTGGAAATACTATTTATTTGCCTAAGCAGCTGATAAATTATGCTAATCCAAGTGATTGCATACTAAGCATAAAAATCACCCAGTCGCTGTTTATAGCATTTATATGCTGTTGGGAAGCATATAAATTTAATGAATAAAATAAGATAAATAAAAATTATTGAAAGAGTGGAGGTAGATAGTTTCTAGTCCTCCCTCCCTCAAGTACAGAGCTAACCGAGTGATTCTCAGCTAGTTATCTTCTCACTCTAGAAATGAGGATATAGTAAATCACATCTCAAAATCTTTTCAAGAAAATTGCAAGAACTGCAAGAACTTCTCCAGCCAGTCTCTCAGAAATGTGTATGATTCAACAGAAGAAGTGGGGGTGGGGGAGGAACAGTTAAGCAGTGTTTCTCAGATTCAGGAAGTTTATGAGGTGTGAATTCTGGGAAATTCTAGCAGTTGACATTCACACCTATTCTATGTTAGTTGCTGAAGATTGAGGAAGAAATGAATTAAAGAATCTTTTGATGAATTTAAAACAAGAGAAAATGGTGAAATGGGACACTAAGGATTGATAAGTCTGTGAAGAGTTTGGGCATCTATAATTGATTAAATCAGTGGTTCTCAACCTGTGGGTCGGGACCCCATTTGGGGTCGAATGACCATTTCACGGGGGTCCCCAAACAATGCAGTCCGCCATTTTTTCCCCCTTTTCCTTAGCTGTGCTACTCCCTTTTATTCTATTGGCTTTTGAAAGCCAATAGAATAGACTCTCTTGAATAGAGTCTAATTCTATTGGCTTTCAAAAGCCAATAGGAATTGTCCAGGCTGTCTCTGCCCTGCTGAGCCCGCCAAAAGTCCCATTCTGCAAACGGTGCTGCACCAGTTGAGTAGTCCTCGACTTATGACCGGTTGAGTAGTCCTCGACTTACAACCAGTTGGGGGTCGCAGCATAAAAAAGGTTGAGAACCACTGGATTAAATGGACACTCCCAACACATAAATGTTTCATATGAAAGCAATCTCATTTTATTTATGAACAGACATTGCCTCTTTCCATCTGTAATGAGAAATGTCCCTTTGGCTACAGCAAGGTCAAAGTGGAAGGGAAATTATCCTGCTGCTATGACTGTAGGCAGTGTCCAGAAGGGAAGATAGCTGACCAAATCGGTAAGCACAGGTATATACTAAATATATCAATGATTTAATAAATAAATGGTTTTGAATTTTTAATCAATTTTATAGTGACTAAAAATTTTGAGCTAACTGATAGATTGTATAAATGAGCAATGAAAACTGTGAACTACTTGTTTATACTTCAGTGAGATGTTTAATAATTATGGAGATTCTGAGTCATCCAAAGGTGCTTTTGGTCCCAAGGGCATTTTTCAAATGGCAGCTGGATTTTTTTTTCCTTGAAAACATTTTGCTTCTCATCCAAGAAGCTTCTTCAACTCTGACTGTAGTTCTGGTTTCAGTCAAAACTGAAGAAGCTTCTGGGATGAGAAACAAAATGTCTTCAAGGATAAACAAAATCCAGTTGCCTTTTGAAAAAGCAACTTTGGGAAATATTTAATGCTCCAATCCATCAATCTAATTTAAAAAGAATAATGCTCCTTAAGATTTGCAATAGTGGTAAATACCTGTAACTTAGGTGTAGAATGAGGGTAAAGGTTTGTTTTCCAAGCCTGTGTGTTGGTTTCTGAAAATTTTGTTACCAGGTTAGGAACAACTTCAGTGGAGTAACATCTTCAGCGGACATTCCCTAAACTCCACTGAAGATGTTATCTAGCCTGGTAATGAAACGTTCGGAAACCAAACCCACAAGCTCGAAGAACGAACCTTCATCCTCATCAATAGGTTTCTCATAGTTGGATTATTCTCCTAACTGCTTGTAGAAGTATACACATTTTGGCAGGTAACCAATGCTTGTTATTAACCAATCCAGAAGGTTTTTTAGTATCCGCTTTTTGACTGTAAGGTAACATTCCATTAAATTCAATTCCTATTCTACCTGCAGAGTAGAAGTATCATATACAGATTTTGGTGTAGCTGTATAAATTAAGAGATATTGAAATTGAACTCTGCATTATTTAATGCATTTCAATGTAAATCATTTTGAGAAAAAATAATATGAAGTCATAGGATCTACTGTAAAGAAATCAAGTATGTTATTCATTCTTCATGATTAAAAATAGTTTTGTGAAATAGTTTTGTTTCTTCCCCCAGACTTAGATGATTGTTTCCCATGTCAAGAGGATCAATATCCAAACAAGGATCAAGATAATTGCCTTCAAAAAACTGTAACTTATTTGACTTTCCAAGAACCTTTGGGGATTTCTTTGGTAATGATCGCAGTCTCCTTTTCTGTCATCTCAGCTGTGGTGCTAAGAATCTTCATAAAACACCAGGACACTCCCATTGTCAAAGCCAACAACAGGAACCTTACCTACACACTTCTCATTGCTCTCCTGCTTTCCTTCCTTTGTACTTTGCTCTTCATTGGGCAACCTGACCAAGTGAAATGTCTCATGAGACAAACTGCTTTTGGCATCACTTTCTCTGTAGCCCTTTCTTGTATTTTGGGTAAAACAACCATAGTAGTTCTTGCTTTCATGGCCACCAAGCCAGGCTCCAACATGAGGAAATGGGTGGGGAGAAGGATGGCCAATACTACTGTCCTCTCTCTTTTCATGGCTCAGTTCAGCATTTGTGTACTGTGGTTGGCAATTTCTCCCCCATTTCCAGATTCAGACATGCATTCCATGTCTGAAGAAATTGTCCTGGAATGTAATGAAGGTTCAACCACAATGTTTTATATGGTCCTAGGCTTTATGGGGCTGTTGACTGCTGTCACATTCACAGTGGCCTTCCTAGCCAGGAATTTACCTGATAGCTTCAACGAAGCCAAATTTATCACCTTCAGCATGTTGGTCTTTTGTAGTGTCTGGGTGTCATTTGTTCCCACTTATTTGAGTACAAAGGGGAAATATGTGGTTGCTGTAGAGATCTTCTCTATTTTGGCTTCAGCAGGTGGATTACTGGGCTGTATCTTTTCCCCCAAGTGCTATATCATTATTCTGAGGCCTGATTTGAATAAGAAGGAGCAACTGATAAAGAAATGAAACTGATATTTATACCAGATCCCTTAAATGAACTAAATTGGTTACTTTCAGCCAGTTTTGTTTTTATTTTTTGCAATTTAGGGCAGTAACCTGATATATAGAGATGTAGATATATATTGCACTCATCCTATGAAACCATGACATATATTGTAATGCAGCATTTTTTTATTTTTAATCTTAAATTATTCTGATTTTAATGTTGATTTTATTGATTATTTTATACACCACTCAGGTCTGCTGTCTGAAGGAGGCAGGTGATTAAGAAATATGTAAGTAAGTAAGTAAGTAAATAAATAAATAAATAAACAAACAAAGAAATAAATATTTGTCTTGCTGTGCATAAAGTTAACTATGAAAGGAAGAGAACCAAGGAATTTGGAAAGTACCTGGAAAGTAAACACACAGAGAATCCATGTGATTTCAATCTCTTGTTCAATATACATGAAATTTTCTTCTGCATAAACATTCTTTGTAATTACCAGGACATAGATAGCCACATCTAACCTAGCCGTCCCCATCATTTTTGGCTCTCGGGCTGGTTTTTGGGGTTGAATGTCTTCCATGGACCATTGCAGGAAGGAATGGTTTCATGCTCATGACCTAGATCCCTCACATATGAAGATGAAATTGGTTCCCAACAGGCCTGGATGGAGTATACTGGGAAACCATCAACCCTAGTCCTTCTTGAAACATGAAAGCATAAGCTGATATGTTCTTGTGGGAACTGAGTGGAAAAATTGGAAGAAGACTATATTGTAGGATGACTCTCCATTTCCCTCATGTAATTGTCCTTATTTCTGATAAGTTCCCTGTCTTTGTTAGCTTGTTTAAAAGTGATGTCATTCTTATTTATAAGCCTTGGATAGTATTTCATTCTGCCCTCTCAGATTGTTTTATTAACCAAACTTTTTTTCCTTTGATTTTTAATTTTATTGATTGTGGCTTTATCCTGAGTACAAAGGGGAAATATGTGATTGCTGTGGAGATTTTCTCCATTTTGGCTTCTGCGGCTGGATTACTGGGCTGCATTTTTTCCCCTAAATACTACATCTTCTTTTTGAGATCTGATTTGAATAAGAAGGAGCAACTAATAAAGAAATGAAACTGATATTTATACCATATCCCTTAAATCACAGGCTGGCAACCCGTGGCTCTGGAGCCGTATGCGGCTCTTTCAGCCGTCTCCTGCGGCTCCCTGTCCTCAGCCACCATGTGCAGTCTGAAAAAAAAGTAGGACTAAAAAAGTTAAAACCAATCAATCCAATCTTCTCACAAAGTTTAGATTGATTGGTTGAACTTCTTTGGTTTGTGGGACTGCCCACAAACCTCTTTCCTTCTTCAGATTGCATGTGGTGGCAGCGGAGGAAGAGCCGGGAGGATTGCTGGAAAGGTGAGAGAACCAGGGTAAGGAGCCGCGGGTGGCCAGTCTTGGGATGCCTCTTCCCTGCCCGGCGGGTCTCCCCTCGCCCTGCTCCTCTATGGCCTCTATTATTTGGGGAAATCACCGGGAGTCTCAGTAGCTTCCCCACTCTTTTGCGCCTTTCGGCCGACTCACGGGTCAAGAGATTTCCCCATGGCTCCTTCCCGGCTCTTTCCCCACCTGCTGCACGGTGCCTCTTGGCCATCCTCCTGCTGCCGCCACTACCGCTGGGCTCTCCGCCACCCTGCCCCACCTCCGGCTGGGCAGCTGCAACCCTTCGCCATCCTCCCATTGCTACCACTACTTCTGGGCTCTTTGCCACCCGGCCCTACCTCAGCCTGAGCAGCTGCAGCCCTTCACTGTCCTCCTGCTACCACCGCTGCTGCAGAGCTCTCCACCACCCTGCCCCACCTTAGCCCGGGTGGCCGCACCCCTTTGCCATTCTCCCACTGCTGCTGCTGCTGCCACTGCCGCAGGGCTCGGGCAGCCGTGGCCCTTCGCCTTCCTTCTGCTGCCGCAGCTGCCATGGGACTCTCCACCACCTGGCCCCACTTTGACCCATCCGGTCATGGCCCTTCACTGTCCTCATGCTGCTGCTGCTGCCACGGGGCTCTCCACCACCCTGCCCCACTTCGACCTGGGTAGCCGCACCCCTTCGCCATTCTCCCACTGCTGCCACTGCCACAGGACTCTCTGCCACCCAGCCCCACCTTGGCCCTGGCAGCTGCACCCCTTTGCCATCCTCCTGTTTTCACCGGGCTCTCCGCTGCCCGGCCGCACCTTGTCTCCATCTTCCTCAGCTGGGCAGCCACGCCCCTTCACCATCCTCCCGCTGTCGCTGCCACCGCTGCCAGTCACGCTGGCAGGTGAGCCCAGAATAGAGGTATTGCGACATTCATTCTACCAAAAACAGGGCAGAGTTCAAAGTGCACATTCCCAGCAGGTATTAAATCGGTCTGGATCAGCGTTTCTCAACTGCAGCAACATTTGGCCTGGGGGATGGGGAGCTGGATGGAAAAAAGGCCGGTGCATGTGTTGCCTTAGGCTCCACTCTTTAATCAAGCCCCATTACGTTTGTGTGTGCATGCGTGCACGCATGTACACATTTTGCAGCTCCTAGTTTTTTCTTTTGTGAGGGAAACGGGTCCAAGTCAAGTGGCTCTTTCACCATTTCAGGTTGCCGACCCCTTCCTTAAATGAAGCAAATTCGTTACTTTCAGCTAATAGGGCTTTTTTTTTTTTTTTTTTTGCAGTTGGTGGCAGTAACCTGATATATAGAGATGCAGATGTATATTGCACTCAGCCTAAAGTGCTATGATAGATAATGCAGCATTTGTTTTAATTTATAATCTTAAATTATTCTGGGTTTAATATTAATTTAAATTGATTATATTATACACCACACAGAGCCCCTTTCTGAAGGAGATGGGTGGTTAAGAAATCTGAAAATAATAAACAAACAAACAAATATTTCTCTTGCTCTGCATGAAGCTAACTATGAAAGAAAGAGAACCAAGGAAGTTAGAGAGTTACCTGGAAAGTAAACTTACATAGAATCCATGTGACTGAAATCTCTTGTTCAATGTACAGGAAGTTTTATCCTCAATAAACACTTTATTGTAATTATCAGGACATAGATATCTACATCTAAGCTAGCAGTTCCCAATATTTTTGGCATTTTTTTGGGGGGGAGGAATGTCTTCCATGGACCAACAGGAGAGAGCATGGTTTTATGCTCATGACCTAGATCCCTCACATATGCAGATAAATCTCACTTTCCTACTATTTCCATGATCCAGTACCCAACAAGCCCAGGGATTGGGGAACGCTCTATGAAGCAGCACCTGTGACAATCTCTTCCAAGTTCATTGCAATATCTAGAGAGTTTTTATGCATCTTTTCTTTGAAACATTAGATAATTATTCTGAGCCCTAATCAGAATAAATGAGAACAAGGGAGAATTCTATCTGAAAATTGATTTTTAACATTATAAAGTGCAGTCTTCTCAAAATGACTGACTTCATGTGCTACAGCCCATAAGCTTCATAATATTCTTGCCAAAAAAGAAAACAACCAACTCTTCCAATATTCTTCACAACCACTTTTTCCCTCAAAATATAAAGGAAAATGCCGATGAATATCCACTGCACAAAATCTCAGTGTTTTATACCCTTTGTTTTTGTGGGTAAGATGGTAGGCTATATATTGAGAAACCATCAACTCTAGTCCTCCTTGAAACATGAAAGCCTCAACTGATATGTTCTTGTCAGAGGTGAGGAGAAAAATTGGAAGAAGACTATATGTAGGATTGTTCTCAACTTTCCTCCTGTAATTGCCTTATTCATGATAAGTTCCCTGTCTTTGTTCACTTGTTGAAAAGTGATGTCATTCTTAGTTATAAGCCTTGGATGGTATTCATTCAGCCCTCTCAGAAAGGTCATGTCCAACTATAGGGCATGGTACTCATCTCCTTTTCTTAGCCAAGATAGCCAGCATTGTCTAAAGATATTTTTCCTGGTCATGTGGCCAGCATGGCTATACACCAAAGGCACAGGGAACACTGTTATCTTCCACCAAAATAGTACCTATTAAACTGCTTGCATTTGCATAATTTGGAATATGCTATATAGGGAGAAGATGGGACAAGTAATGGGTAAAAGTAAATGTATCATGACAGATCAAATATTGGTAATATTATCATGATATATCTTATATTAAGCAAAGGGTAAGCAAGGGTATTTCCATTATTCTTTTCTCTAATTTTATGTTTTTCCTTCTGTACATATGACTTTTCATTTTTCCATTTTCTACATCAGGGGTGTCAAACTACCGGCCTGCGGGCTGGATGCATCATAGCAAAACTGCGCCTACCCCATAGCTGGCAATGGCAAAAAAAGTCACAATACATCATGACAAATCATGTGACTTTGTGAGTTTGACACCCTTGTTCTACATAATATCTTAGTACCAAAAGTTCATAACAGCGCAGTAGTGTCTACTGAGACATAATAAACATGTTTCCCTATGATATTACATTGCAAGTAATAGTATTCATTACTCATGAATACTTCTTCTCCATGTCCCAAGGGCATTCCAGCAGACACTGACAAAACTAGGACCCTAGAGTAAGACACTGCATTGTATTAACCTCTGCTCAGAACTGCATGTAGAAAAACAGAAAAAGAAGGATTTGTGTTTGAACTGATATTTTCTTGGCTTAATTTCAGATAATGTTCATGGTCTAAACCTAAGGCAACATTACTGGGTGGCCAATCCAACTCCTCATTTGAATAATAAAATAGGAGCTACTGTTTGATATCTACTATGGCCATATATTATAGTGAGTTGGTTATATTCAGAACATTGATTTTATTTTTTCCCCCTAACATAATATTAATTTCTCCTGGTTCCAGTTGCGAAGTAAGCAGTCCTCTTCCAATTGTTCACAAGTATTATCAGCCAGGAGACTTAATCATTGCTGCAATTATTTATCAGGTCTTCTTTCTTTCCAATGAGATCACATTTCAAAGTCTTCCCTCTCATGAAGTGCTCGATCAGTATCTGTAAGTATCTCCTGCTG